TTTTTTCTTTAGATCCAATGAATAGAAATTATAATAACAAAATAATATTATTTTTTATCTTGAAGTATTAAAAACAAATTGTTTGTTCAAAAGAAATTAAAATTTTTTTAAAATTGACATCGGATTCGTAATTAGCGACTCTGAAAATCCCCGAGTAACAAGTTTCATATGAATCAGATAAATTTTTTAAAAATTGTCCGCCATATTGGATCCGCCATTTTGAAATTTTGAAAATGGATTTCAGATCGTAATCAGCGACTCCGAAAACCCCCGGGTAACGAGTTTCAAACGAAGGCAATTAATTTTTAAAATTTTGTCCGCCATATTAGAATGTTTGTTGTTTTAATTTAATCTTTTTTTAAAAATGTGTGCCGCTAAGGGTTAAAAAAAAATAATTTATTACTAATGTAATCAAAATATAAGTAGATACATAATAAAAAAAAAATAATAGAAATATATGTATATGAGTAATTTTAATGATCTTGACACACCTTTCATTATGTAGAGCCACACGAAAAATAATAAAAGTCATTGCATTACATACTACTTAATGTATAGTTGCTATTCTGTTTATAAGTTAAAAAAAATTTTTTTTTTACTAAATTATTTTTATCAAATTAAATTAAATTTTTCAATATATTAGCTAACAAAGTTTTTTCTTAATTAATATAATAATAATTAGGTGGATAATTATAAACTAATTTTATAATCGAAATTCATAACTTTATATTCATATTTCATTTCAGATTGATTAATAATTAAAACTCATTTATCTTTAATTAAAAATAATTTTTTTAAACAATTAAAATTTAAAATTTTTTTTAAATTCATTTTAAATTTATCAAAAATTTAAAGATTTCCAATTATTTAAATATTTTAAATCTAGTGCTTTATATTAACAATGTTTCTTATTTTCTCTACGATAATAATTTGCAATGCAAAAATCTATCGACATTTCAATTTACCATTTATGTTTCAGAATCATTTATTATTACTTATATAAATTCTTCCTGGTAAAAAAATATTTATAAATAAAGACAAAAAATAAAATTTTTCATAATAAAATACAAAAAAATGATAAATTTTTCAAAATTAATTAAAATAAATATTAATAGTAATTAGTTTTCTAGAATAAGTAGATAATTAAATTACAAAAAAAAAAAATGATTACGAAAATTTTTTTTGACATATCCTTTATTACTTTTTTTTGACATAAATAATATAAATAAAATTTAATTCAGTTGAATAAAAAAAAATTTGCTTTGATTTAAAATAAATATAATTATTTTTAATGTTCCTCGTTTTGTAAATAATCGATAGATAAATTGTCCTTGCACAAATCGTCTAACCTTGTCTTTAAGGAGATCGCATAGTATTTAATGATTACGTTATTTATTCTAAAAGTAGCTTTTGATAAAAATGGTATTGTAAAAAATTACACACGAGAATAACAATTGTGCGTTAAAAAAATTTTAAATAATGAAATTCCTTTTTAATAGAAACAATTTGTTTGTTTTTTTTATTATTAAGATCCTTCTAATGTTTGAAATAAATTTTTTTTTTAATATCGTAAAAAATATTATATAGAAACAGTTCTTTGAATTGTAATTGTTTTTTTTAACACTTGCTTCAAAATTAAATATTCAAATTTCTATTAAAAATATAAATTATTCAAAATTTTTTAAAAATATAAAAATTTTAATTGTAATAATACCTTTTTGTTTTGAAGAAAATAAAAATTTTTTTTTATTAAACAATTATAATTTAAACAATAAAGATTTCGAACGTTTTTTGATACAATTACAAATTGTGATGATATCAATGCGAGACGCGGCAGAATACTGAAGGTATGGGAGTCAAGGAAAGAAAATAGGAAGGTAATTCCCTCGTGTCTCCACTACTACACAGATTAATACGAAACGCAAGCGCACTTTCTTTTAAAGTTATATTATTTTTTTATTATTATTTATTATTATTTATTATTATTGATTATTAATTTTTTGAAATTAATATCATATTAACTTGTTTTAAATGCAATATGTTAATTAATTAATTAATTAATAACTCAGAGAAAAAGTTCATTTAATTTAACCAAATAGTTTAATTTTTCACAAGTCAGTATACTATATTAGAGGTAAGGACCAAAAAAAAAACTTGATGGAAAAAGGGCCAAGCGATTGGACAGTCTCAAATGGGAAGGGATAAACGGAAAATAGTCAACGGGAAACCGAGTCAAGATAGAGTTCCCCTTCCCGGTTGTGACCATCCAATCGCTTGATTCTTTCTGTCACTTAGGCCTATTCGGTCGCTAGTTAAAATTTTTGACATTTATAAATTAAATTAATCTATAACTTAATTAATTTTTAGTAGGATTATTAATAAATTAATGAACTTATTAATTAATTATTTTCAACAATAATTTGATATAACAATTATTATTTAATATTGTTAATTTTAATTAATTTAATCATTTGTAACAGTAAGGCAATTAATTAATTAATTAAATCATTTTTAATATTAATTTAAGACCATTAATTAAACATTGACATAATGAATTAAGTTATTAATTAATCCTATATCAAAGATCCCATAAAGAATAAATTGTTTTTAACAATTATTATATTTATTATTGATAATTAGTTTAATTAATTATTTGTAATAGATATAAATTAAATTAATTAATTATTATTATATATAATTAATATTAATTAAATAATAATTAATTAATCTTATAGAAAGGAGCCTATACCTAATAATTTATCATTAACAAAATTATTTTATTATTATTGTCAATTAGTTAATTTAACTATTTGTAATAGTAATGAATTTCATTAATTCCTTAATGGCCTTTTTATTACGTATGACTGAATTAACTAAATAGTTGCTAATAATTGTTAATAACATACTATTAATAATAATAATAATTAACTGCTAATTTAATAAATCGAGTAATAAGTCAACTAATTATTAATTAATGCACTTACTATTAAAAAAAATATTTAAATGAACTAATTAACAATAATTGTTAATAACAAATCATACTTTATAGGAATATTTATATAGGATAAATTAATGACCTTATTAATTAAATTAAAAATTAATTAATATTAAAATGTAATTAACTGCCTTTCTATTACAAATAATTAATTAAACTAATTAACAATAATTGTTAATAACAAATAATTTTATAAGGGATTTTTAATATAACATTATTAATGCCCTATAATTAATTAAGCCAAAGGTAAATTAATGGCCCTTCTATTACAAATAATTAAATAATTAAACTAATTAAAATTGTTAAATACCTAACAATTGTTTATAACAAATTATTTTTTATGAGATCTTTCATATATAGAATTAATTTGTGACTTAATTAATAAAGTCGATGATTAATTAAAGCTTTTACTATTAAAAATAATTAAATTAACTAATTAATTAATGGCATTACTGTTAAAAAAGAATATATTAACTAATTAGCAATATGTTATAATAATTGTTAATAACAAATTGTTGTTAAGAATGATTAATGAATTAATTAATTTATTATAGATATAAATTATTATTAACAATATTATGTTATTTAGAATTATTACTTATTATTGCTAAAGAGTTAATTTAATTATTTGTAAAGGTAAGGCCATTAATTAATGAATTATTATTAATAACAATTTGTTATTAACTATATATATTAAATTATTATTTAATATATCTAATTAGTTAATTTAATAGTATGTATAGCACTTCGGCCGTTAATTAATAAATTTAATGAATGAATTAATTAGTTAATGAATTAATTAATGAATAAATGAATGAATTAATTAAGGCTATTGCTTTCATATTGATAAAGTTACTATTACAAATAATTAAATTAAGTAATTAATAATTGAAATCAATTAATTAATTTAATTATTTGTTAAGTGATAGATAACGTCAGTAATTAATTAAAGGCCTTATCATTAAAAATGATTAAATTAAGTACTTAGCAATAATATATAATATCTTTTAATAACAAATCATTGTTATTAATAATTAATTAATAAGGTAATTTAGTAATATGTTAATCAAGTAATTAATTAATAGCTTTGCAATTAGATGTAATTAATTTAACTAATTAACAATAATAAATAATAATTGTTAATAAGCATTTATCCTTCATAGGATCTTATAGAGGTATCAAATTTTTCAAAATTTTATATTTCGCACATTGAATTTATATTCCCCTATTTTCATGAAATTATTTTATTTATCAAATTTTGTTAAAAATTCAAATTAATAAATAAAGTTTCAATTAATAACCATTATTATCAATTTATATTATATATAGTATACGATTCTACATATATATATATATATATATATATATATATATATATATATATATATATATATATATATATATCTGGTACTCCGTAATTGTTGATTTTTCTATTTGATTTTTTCAATAAAATAATTTTTTGTAGATGTACATGTATGTAAAATTTGGTATCTTTAATTATATCAACTTTGCAAAGTTTTATTTAATTTTACAAGTCACTGAAATTCAACCGCTATTTTTATCACTTGATAACCGCATATCATTTAATCTGCGTGGGTACAAACATATCTTCATATGATTTGAATCTCTTTTATAAAAATTAAAATTCTTCATTATTATTTTGTTTTTAGTACAAACGTATATAATTGATGAAATATATAGACAAATATAAATTTTATATAATTTAAATTTTTAAGAAATTAATAAAATTTGGCCTCTTTCAGAAAATTTTTTACTTAAATTATTTTAAGTTTATTTAATTGTTATATTATAATATTTAATCAATATATGAAAAAAAGTAATTAAAAATTAAAGTTTGTATAAAGTTGCATGTAACTTTCTACTATATAGGTAAATTTCAAAAAAGAAAATTTCTTATTTAAATATATATTATATATTAAATTTAACTTCTTCTGGAGAGAGAGAGAGAATTAATTACAAAAGCAGCGGCTCCATAAGCCGGACCGGACGGATCAGATGAATATGTGAGTAGCCTTGTCTCTTTCTCTCTTTTTCTCTCTCCATTGCATCGTGGTATTGAAGTGACAGTTCGACTAACTATAGTAAAAAGACTAGTCTGAAAAATCCTCTGCCTTGTTCAACATTCAAAGAATCAGGTGTGTTATTATTTTCTAAATATACATATAAAAATCTGTGTTATTAATTTGCAATTTTTAAATGTGACACACAATATAACGAAAGTAATAATCGAGAAAATTGTTTTAGTGAATAAACAGTTTCATCAACTTGGGTGTAATTTATAATTTTTTCTATAATAAACTTCTTATATACATTGTGCATGAAAATTGTCTCTTCATCAGGAATTTGATATTTAAATTCCGTGCTATCAACTTACTGTACAGTGGAAAAAATTTATTTGCTTCAAATAATGATCGTTTGCTTGACCATTATTATCGGAACAAATATTTACTTGAATAATAATTTTTATTTGAATTAAATACAAATACCATTTAATTTAAATAATAATTATTGAATAAAAATTTATTTGATAATTGTCAAGTAACCGATCATTTGAATTAAATAAGTTTTCATTTTCTATTATCAATTACACAATTAATTATTCATAATAATTTTAATTATATTTATTATTGTTTATTAATTTTTTTTTATTTTTCCGATTTTCGTTTTCTTTTATTATTATATACGATTTCGCATGGGGTCAGTGATACTTATTAAAATGAATCACCGGAAATAGCTATGCTGATCAGAAAAGTAGATCGTTCAGTTAATTCAAAAAGTCAAAACAAAATTTTTCTGTGGGTTGTAAATGTATACGAATATTCGATATTTGATATATATATATATTGTAAATTAATTGTTATATAGACAAAAATGGTCCTACTATATAATAATTGATGTCTCTATAAAGTATCAAAATGACATCATCGGGATACTGACTGTAAACCATATTCAGACACCCACACGAACACGTTTGTGACCTTAAACCGATTCTTGTGATGATGACGGTATTAAAGAAGATTAAATAAAAAAAAAATTGTTTCGTTCATGAAAATAGGGGAATATAAATTCAATGTGCGAATTAATTATAAAAGAAATTTATAAATTATAATCTAAAAGTTTCTATATTTGTTGCACTCGAGATATGATCAAATTTTGTCCGATGCTAATTATTTTAAAATAAATTTATCTACTATTTATATTGTTTATTAGATTTTTCTATTTTTTTATTATAATTTTTTTATTCTCATTAATTAATTTATTATTATTATTATTACTATTATTAAATTACAATCATTTTAACACACCATTGTTTACGAGGGAGATTCCGCTTCTTAACTTTTGATCAATTAATTGGTTATCAATTCATTATTACTTAATTACTTATAAATTAATTATTAAGTTATTAGTTATTAAGTAATTATTAATTAATTAGTTATCAATTAGTTATTAATTAATTATCATTTTCCTTTACGTTTTTGTAAAGGATTGTTTAATTATTGTTAACACAGAGATACAACTTAACTTTAACGATAAATTATTATTTATTATCTTTAATTAGTGAAATTAATTACTTGCAATTGTAAAGCCATTAATTAATTACTGAATTAACTTATTAAATAATTAATTATTAATAACAATAATTTGTTGTCAACAGTTATTATTTATTATTGCTAAGTAGTTAATTTAATAATTTTAATGGTACGTCCTTTAATGAATTAATTAATGGCCTTACTTTTGCAAATAATTAAAATAATTTAGTTAAATTAATTAGTTCATTTAATCATTGGTAATAGTAAGGCAATTAATTAATTATTATTAACAATAATTTGTCATTAACAATTATTATTTAATATTGCTAATTAATTAATTTAATGCCTTATAATAGTAAGAGTATTAATTAATTAATTACTGGTCTTACTATCACATTACGAATAATTAAATTAATTAACTTTGTTCAAATATTAATTAGTTAATTTAATTATTTATAATATTAAGCCTTTCAACATAAAAGAAATGGCCTTGTCATTACAAATAATTAAATTAACTATTTCATTCATTAAATTAACTAATTAATTCATTCATTAATGGCCGTACTGTTACATATAATGAATTTAACTAATTAGGAATATTAAATAATAATTGTTAATAACAAATTTTTGTTTCTAATAATTGAATACTTAATTAATTAATGGTCATGCCATTAGAAATAATTAAATTAATTCTTTATCAATAACCCTGGCGGAATCATAAAATCGGATTTAAATCGAATTTGATTTAATTTTGATTGAGTTTGATTAGAAGCAGAATTTTGCCGCTAATTGATGAAATTTGATTAAATAAACCATTGCTAATTAAAATTTATTATTATTTTAATTGATTTGTGCAAGAATTGAGTTCAATTATGCATTAATTAAATAGTAATTAATGCACTTATTACTATTAAATTAACACATAATTGAAATCAATTCTTGCACAAATCAACTAAAATAATGATACATTTTCATTAGCAATGGTTTATTTGATCAAAATTTCATCAATTAGCAGCAAAATTCTGCTTCTAATCAAACTCAATCAAAATCAAATCAAATTTGATTTAAATCCGATTTTATGATTCCGCCAGGGTAATAAGTAATAATTATTAATAACAAAGTGTTTGTTGCATTCATTTATTTTCATTTTTGATGATTTTTTTTATATTAACTTAATTTATTCGTTTCTTTATTTTTCTATTATTTATAGAAAACTTTAAATGTAATGCCAATTGGAAAAATGGATTTAGAAGAAGAACTTTTGCAAATGCACACAACAGATGTTCAAAATTCTAATCTTTATAAATTACTTCTAAAGAGTTTGCAATCAAAACACTTTGCAGTTTTTAAAAGTTTCATTAATAAGGCTCTAAAGAAACATGAAACTGGAATTAATGTGGATTATGCTTTTCCGGATCCCTATAATAAAACATTTTTGGACATAGCTTGCTGCGAAGGATTAAAAGATTTTGTAGAATTATTGCTGGAATTAGGTGCAAATCCTAATAAAATTAATGAAACATACAATCGATCGCCACTTCATTTTGCTGCAGAAAATGGACATGCAGAAGTTTTACAAGTAATTCATTGTTTTTAATAAGAAAAAAGTTAATTACTTCCAGATATATTCATCCCGAATTCCCAAATTATCACTGCTGATAACTTTCCATTCCAAAAATTTCTTCCTTTTTTCGCATTTCCTCAACTAATTTTCATTATTTAGAATGCATATCCATCTCCTAATTTCTCATTAAGATTTAATTTTTAACTTACTATAAATTCCGTAATGTATTTTTTTTAAAGATACTTTTGGAAGATCCAGCCATTAATCCTAATCTCGAAGTAGGACGTCAAACTGCTTTTCATATTGCTGTCAAAAATAAAGATCTACAATGTGTTAAAGTACTTTTAAGTGCAGAAGCAAGACCAGATATTGCAAATGCCAAAGGAATAACAGCTATTCATCAAGCTGCTTTAACAAGACAAAAAGAAATCGTTCATTTAATTCTCAGTACAAAATTTACAATTCCTTTGGATATTGATACTTTTAGAGATTATAAACAACAAACTGCAAGGGATTTATTGAAACAAAATTGTCCTGAATTTGATTTACCAGAACAAAAATCACGAAAAGTTGATTTTAATCTATTAAGGTACTATTTAGATGCAAATGATGAGAAGAATTTTTTGATAAATTTATCACAAATTAATGATAATGAATCAATTAATTTTAATGAACTTATAAAAATTGCTTCAGAACATAATTTATCTGAGGCAATTGTCAAATTAATAAGTAGAGAGGAACTTGTCGAAATGTCAGAAGCAGCAGAAATTGCTGTACGTCGTGGTCATTATGAAGTGTTGAAAAAAATTTTAAATTATGATTGTCATATAGGAAAAAAATTGCTTATTTTAGCTTGTCAGGAATTGTCAACACCATGTAGAAGAAGTTTAGATTATCAAAAGATAAGGCTTAAATGTTTGAAAATTATTCTTAAACAACAAGATGTTGACGTACGCATTGAAGATGGTATTATCTGTTTATTTCGTACGTTGTTGGGTTTGATATTTTTCTGAAAAATTCTATTTTTTCTTCACAGAAAAGGGAAATACTCCATTACATTATGCGGCAAGAGCTGAAAATTCAGAAGCAGTGGAACTATTATTGCAAGCTGGAAGTTACATTGGTCATCTAAATCAATTAGGTGTTCCTCCTTTGGCTCATATAAGCTCTGAGATATTAAATAATTATTTTAATACCTGCATCAATAGTAGCAATGAACGTTCAGACGATTGTGAAATACATTTTGATTATAAATGTTTAATGCCTAATGTTTTTAAAAATAATGGAGAAGAACCACTTTTAGGTAGTAATCAACGGAATTCGAATAAAAATATTATGGAAATGCAATCATTACGATACATAGCGGAAACTAAAGCATTGAAGCATCTTTTAAAGCATCCACTGTTAACATCATTTTTATTTATCAAATGGAGCAGAATTCGTTATATTTTATATGCTAATTTATTTTTTTACTTCATGTTTTACGTGTTAATGAATACGTATATAATTTTTGTAAATTCAAAGGAGGAGAATTTAAAGAATAATGTTCGAACAGCAGAAGAGGGTATATTTTTGTCAATAACTGGCATTGCATTAATAATTCTTGCGATAAGAGAAATATGTCAGTGTTTATCTTCACCAGGTAAAAATTATCATTATTTCTAATATATATGATTATTAAAATTGCTCAAAAATTACAATATAGTTGTAATTTATATTATTTTTAGGTCACTATCTCACAAGTTTTGAAAATTGGTTTGAAATAGCATTAATAATTTTGGCAGCAATATTTTTAGGCAACAATAATGCCCAAATTGGAGCAATAGTGATATTGTTTTCAGCTTGGGAGCTAGTCATTCTAATTGGTCAATTACCTAAAATGTCAACGGGAATTGAAATATTTAAAAAAGTTTCCCTTAATTTTATGAAATTTCTTTTCTTATATGCATTTTTGATACTTTCATTTGCATTGGCGTTTTATACTTTATTCAAAGATGGTGCTGATGACAATAAACCTTTTCCAAATGCAGCTCAATCAATTTTTAAAACAATTGTAATGCTAACGGGAGAATTTGAAGCCAGCGACATACCATTTGTAATTCATCCTGTTTTGGGTCATGTAATTTTTGTACTTTTCGAATTTTTAATTGCTATTGTTCTTTTTAATTTATTAACTGGTCTTGCTGTTAGTGACACACAGGAAATATTGTCTGAAGCCGAACTTGTTAGTTTAATTTCACGGTGAGTTTTTTTTTTTTTTGCTACAAAAATTAGATGATGATTTCAGTTATTAATTAATCTTCTTCTAGGACCAAACTGATTTCATACATTGAAGGAGTAACAGTGGGTTTACCATATCATTCGAGAAATAAATTATCTTGTTGCCTACAACCAATTGTGCGAAATTCAACAATTAGTCCACTCTATTTAATTGCTAAGAGAGTTATAATATTTAAAAAATTTTTACCCGAAGGTAAATTAAGCGTTAAACCATATAAGAATCATGAAATTGTACTACAAGGACGTCGAAATTTTGCATCAAAAGCATTTCCAATTCTTCAATTAGACTCATCGATTACAATAAGTGCAAAATCAATTCTCTCCGAACGTGAATATATTTCCAAAGAGGATAAAATTATTTCTAAATTAGAATCATTTAACAAAAGACTGGAGAAAATTGAGACTCTTATTTTGACATTGGGAGAATCTTTACAAGCAAATAAAAATGTATCTGACAATGAAAATATTGATAGTTAGCTTTATTTTATATGATAAAAATTGACTTCATGAGTAAAAATATGTTTTAGACATATACAGGAAAAAAAAAATTAAAAAAGACATATTTGGAAACAAATATTATTAGATTTATGTAATTATAATAATAATATTCTTAGAGATTTAGTGAGTTAAAGAAAAACTTATTTTTAATAAGAATCTATTAAATAATGTTGATTTAATTTTGTAATTTATATATTTTATAATAGAAATATTTAAATATGCGAACTTTTTGTAAAATGCAATGTGATAATTAAAAAACAAGACAATAATAAACCCAGTATTTTTCAACTATTTATGTAGTTATTTTTTTAACGTCTTATAATATTAAATATCGCCATGCTACATTCCGGACCGTGCATACAATTTTATTAAAACAGACTAAATTTTCTAATTAGACATATAAAAATACTTCCTATTACAATGATAGAATGGAAATAGGAAAAAGAATTTATAATTATTTTTATTCACTCGAATTAAGTGTTACGTTTTTTTTTTTTTTATTATTACAAATGCATCACGAGGACGTGACAAAATATATTGAAAAGAAAGATAAAAGAAATTAATAAATATATTCTACTAAATACAAAATCTACTCAATATTTATTATTATTTCCAATATTACAACTACAATTAATATTAATTAACTAATCTAAACTTAAAAAATTCTATGAGAATTTTTAAATTCTATATTTTTTAAAGAAAAAATTTAAAAATAAAATTTTTACAATTAATTGTGAATATTTTATCTTATAATTTAATTCATTTAATTCTAGCAAAGTTTTTAAATTTTTCATTCACTTTTCATTACTTTGCAATAATATTTCTAAGATAAAGTATTCATTTGAAAAAAAAAATTGTATTCAGAGTTCGAGATTTTTTTTTTTTTATTTTAGAGACCTGAATAAATGTCCATAACAGTTTGTTGATCAAATAATTCTGACTGCAATGCATTGAGAAACATGGGAACACTTTGTTGAACTTGTAAATATTTTTCGATAAGATTATTCAAAGTTCCAGAATATGGCGTTTCCAAAAGATTGACACCATCGTTGCTCATTTGGAAAAATAGAAAATCATCTGGTGAATCAGCATATTGACTGGACAATTTATACATTCCTTCTTTTGTTCTATCAACTTTCCAAGCAAAAAGTTGATAACACGCCTGGCGAAACTCTTGGGTAGAAGCTTTAAACGCCTCCTTTAAACGTGTTATCTTCAATTCATGAGTCTGCTTCAATTCTGCTATTTCTGTTAATTAAAATTAAATAAATTAGATTTAAAAACAATGACTGACAATATGTCTGTATAATTTTAAAGGCAATAATTCTAATAATTTTAATTCTAACCTTGTGCATGTAGAGAAGAAGATGCAACAGTTCCAGTACTACCAGTATTAACTTTTGAGCGCAATTCTTCAAGTTCACGTAAAAGAGCTTTTTGTTTCTCTTCAGCCTCCTGTTCAGCAACTGCCTGGGGATTCATTCGAAAATGTAAAATTCGCGAATTACAATTAAAATCGCCTTTCAAAGCACGATGTTCAAGTTCTCCTTTCAATTTTTCAATTTCATCTTGCAGCTTTTTGTATTCGTCTTTTTGTTTTCCTAAATCAACAATTTCTAAATCTGACTCTAATCGAGCAACTAATTCTCTGAAAGAAAAAAAAATTCTTTGATATTAAAATATCACTTCAAATAATTATATATATTTATTTTATCATTCTAAAAAAATAGAAATATTTACCTATAACCTTCTAGAGCGCGTTCAAGGGAAGGTATTCTTTCTGCCATTAAATTATTAGGATCAGAAATTGTGACTTCCTTTTCATAAAGATCAAGTTGTTGTCGATAGCTATCTCTCTCCCTAGTGATAAGCATCATTTTTTTTTGAGTTCTACTAATATGTTTTGTCATTCTTTCACACAATATTAATTTGTCAGACAAGAGTTTTTTTGTTTCCTCCCATTTTTCTTCGAGACTTTGACATTTTCTTTCAGAAACATCGGCCTTTGAACGAAGTTGACCTTCCTCAGCTGTTAAAACTGCCTCCGCTTGCTGTAAGCGATTAAGTTCTCGCTTCAAGGCAGAGGGACCGCCGGTAAATCCAATTGACTCATATTCAGAGAGACGATCCGATAGTTCGGCACATTTTACTTGTAATTGAGAGACAGTTTCTTCCAATTGTGTCATACGTTCGGTTCTGGAAAATAATTTTTTGTTTTACATTAAATATTGACCAATTTTTAATTTCTATGATTTTATTCTGAAACTTATTAACTGTAGTTTAGAGACTCGAAGGATTACAAAGACAACGGAGGCGGAGAAACTTGTCTTATTAAGAAGACTCGAGGCACAAAGAAATAATTCAAAATTCAAGAAATCAAAGTAGTCTCCCTTTTACTCGGCCTGCCGCCCAATAGTAACTAATAAATTCAGAATAGCTGTGTTGATTTCTTCATAGATTTTGCTTTTGCTCGAACACGTGTCGGATTTTCAGGAAATTTATTATTTTCTTTTCTAATTAAAGTTATGTTATGAATATATAATTGAATAAATATTGTAATTAAATTCTTATATTAAATAAGACAAATTAAATTCTTATAAATTTTCTTAGTACCTCGACGCTTTAGTTTTAGTATTTATCTTTTAATTCTTGTTTTTTAAAAAAATCGTTGTAAAAATAAACTTGTCCCCAACTTTTGCTGAATTTAGCGCTACAGAGTGGAGAAAACATTCAAATGGCTTTTTTCTTATCTCCCTCTCCCCTCTCCTCAACTGTCTTGGACTAAGGAACTTTGGCTTAAATTATTGATATTTCTTGTGAAAATAAAAAATTTTGTTCAACTTTGTTTATTTTATACGGCATTGCTTTACTTATTTTTCTTTATAATTCTTTCAGTTATTTATTAACAAATTTGAATTTTCGTAATTATTTTCTTTATAAATTATTAAGTTATTTTCTTTAGTCAAGTAAATTATAATAAATATTACTATTAAAAAACAAATTTCGAAGGAATAGGATAGTGAAATAATAACATTTGTGTATAGAAACAATAAATAAACTTTATTTACGAACGATTATCACAATGTAGACTTAGTTAAATAGCCTAGCGAGCAAAATAAAAGAATCTTAAATGAAAATTAAATATATCAGTCTCAAACATTTTCTTTACAAAATACTGCAAGTTTTTTTGTAACAGTTTTGAAAAATTAACTAATTAATCAACTTCCTCCACAGTGGGTCCCGAGTTTTGGCCACCGAAAGAATTTCCATAGGGATTTTGTCCTTGCCTAAATTGACTTCCACAATTCTCACCTCCTGCTCCTTGATGTATTTTTGTCAGAAGTGGCGAGCACAATTTCTCAATTTCCTTCAATTTATGAACAAATTCCTCCTTCTCGGCGAGGGTATTATTGTCAAGCCAATGTATCGTCTCTTCACAATAATCCAAAATTGTTTTCTTCTCCGAATCATTCAATTTTGTACCACAATCATTAACGGCTTGCTTCACATTGAAGACATAGCTCTCAACTTTATTGCGAGCCTCAACTTTTTCACGTTGCTGTTGATCTTGATCGCGATAACGTTCAGCCTCCGACAACATACGATCAATTTCCTCCCTCGACAATCGTCCCTTGTCATTGGTGATGCGAATATTATTACTGCGTCCACTTGCCGTGTCCTTAGCCGTAACATGAAGAATACCATTGGCATCCATATCGAAGGTGACATCAATTTTTGGCACACCTCGTGGCGCCGGTGCAATATTACTCAACTCAAAACGCCCCAGGAGATTATTGTCCTTGGTCATTGCACGTTCACCCTCGTAAACTTGAATAGTAACGCCCGGTTGATTATCGGCGTACGTGGTGAATGTTTGCGACTGTTTACAAGGAATGCGTGCGTTGCGTTCGACAATTTTTGTCATCACTCCGCCTGCCGTTTCGATACCAAGAGACAATGGAGCCACGTCCACCAGCAGAACATCCTGAAGTGTTGTATTATTGCCTCCCTCACCGCTGAGTATTGCCGCCTGAACCGCAGCACCATAAGCCACGGCCTCGTCGGGATTAATTGACAAATTCAATTGTTTTCCGCAGAAGAAATTTTGCAACATATTCTGAATCTTTGGAATACGCGTTGAACCACCAACAAGTACGACCTCATCAATTCTTCTCTTATCAATTTTAGCGTCAGCCAACGCTTTTTCAACAGGCTCTAGTGTTGCACGAAACAAATCGGCGCACAATTCCTCAAAGCGTGCGCGCGATATTTTTGTATAAAAATCCAAACCCTCGTAGAGTGCATCAATTTCAATGCTCGCCTCAGTGCTCGACGATAGTGTTCGTTTTGCTCTCTCCGCCGCTGTTCGCAATCGTCGTAGACTTCTTGGATTTTGACGTAGATTTTTTCTAAATTTCCTCTCAAATTCCTTGCACAAATGTTCAACAAGTCTATTGTCAAAATCCTCACCACCCAAATGTGTATCGCCTGCTGTTGATTTCACTTCAAACAATGAACCCTCATCAATTGTCAATATCGAAACATCAAATGTACCTCCGCCCAAGTCAAATATTAATATATTCTTTTCGCCTTTGAGATTTTTATCGAGACCATAGGCAAGTGCAGCGGCTGTTGGTTCATTTATTATTCGCAAAATATTGAGTCCAGCAATTGCACCGGCGTCTTTTGTCGCTTGACGTTGGGAATCGTTAAAATATGCTGGTACTGTCACAACTGCGTCTTTTACTTTTTTCCCAAGATATGACTCTGCTGTTTCCTTCATTTTTGTCAGCACCATTGAACTTATTTCCTCTGGATTGAATCTCTTTATTTCACCGCGAAATTCAATTTCAATTTTTGGTTTTCCTGGAAATGCAAAAGAAAACAAATTTAGAATTTTTATTTCACTTTCTTTTTATTTGTAAATTGAAAATTTCCTTCTTTACGTAATTGTTAATTGCATTTAATACAAAATATTTTTTCGTTTTTAGGATTTTTTACTTTACTCATTTTGAAAAAAGAAACTAAAATACAGGCCTCGGATCGACTTAAAGGCACAAAAAAAGTCGTTTTAGTCGATTTATATTCTAAAAAAAGTCGAAAAAGACGATTTTTTTTATTTTAACAAAAATATTTTACAGATTTTTAAATAAAAATTTTTTTCTTAAATAATAATACTTTTGGAAGGGTGTAAAGTTGAAATTTTTAGAAATAATTGAATTTTAAAAGATTTTGTTAATTTTCAGACAATAATTAAATTTTACACAACTAAAAGTAATTTAGCAAATAATTTCAGATAACATTTTTTGAAATGTAATTGAATTTTCAAAGATTTACAATTGAGATTTTTTAAATTAATTGAACTTCAAGTGATTTTTAATTAACAATTTTTGATGATTTCACTAAACAATTAATTAGAAATTGCGTACAAAAATACAATAATTTGAAAACCATTTTTAATTGAAAAATGGTTTCAGATTTACATAGAGTTATAATTGAAATTATTAAATTTCAAAAAATTTTAAAATTAATTAAAGTTTGGAAGCATTAAAATTCAAATTTTTCAAAATAATTGAATTTAAATTAAAATTTTGGATAATAATTTAATTTTAGTTGATTTTTGGTTGAAAATTTTGATAATAATTAATTTTGAATTGAAATTTTGGATAATTATTGAATTTTAATTGATTTTGAATTGAAATTTTGGGTAATAATTGAATTTTAGTTGATTTTGAATTGAAATTTTTGAAAATAATTCAACTTTATTTGATTTTGAATTAAAATGTTTTGGTAATTTTATTTGATATTTTTTTAAAATTATAAACAATTGTTAAATTTCACAAAAATTTTAATTGAAGAATAATTTTGATATAATTGAATTTGTGATGTATTTCATTAAAATTATTAAAAATAATTAATTTAGTGAAGAATTTTAGTTAAAAATTTGTTAAATAATTGAAATAAAGAAGATCTGAAGAAGATCTGCATTTTATACTAAAAAAAATATATTTTATTTAAAAATTTGTTTAAAAAATGTAAAAAAAATGTCGAAATAGTCGCATTTTATTAAAATAAGTCTAAAAAAGTCGTATTTTTGAAAAAAACTCGTAAAATCCGAGGCCTAAAAATACAATTTTAATTTTACAAAAAGAAAATAATAATAAAAAATAACAATTATAAATTTTCAAATAGTAAAATGCATTGCATAAAAATTTTTTGTCCCTTCTTTAATTACATATTTCTTTTTTTCTATACTTTGAGAAACATTATTTTTATACTGTAAAATAATAAGATATTCAAATAAAAAAAAAGAAAACAAATTTGTCGAAAATAATAATCAACCGAAAAATATTTTTTTCTCTATTTTAATTTTTGTAAAAACTTACAACATGAAAATATTTATTAAAAAAAAACAACAGAAAAATAATAATTATCAACAAAAGTATATTATTATTATTATAAATTTAACATAAAATACAAATGGAATTTTGTGCAAAAATTAGAAATAAAATTCTTGAAATTAAGAAGAAAAATTTATTGGAAAAAGAAGAATAAAATCCAATAAATTCGTGAATAAACAAATAATTTTTCTACAATGCAATAATTTAAAGAAAAAATATGTATTTTTTTGAAACTTACCTCCATCATTGACGACTTTGAAGGGCCAATGTTTCAGGTCACTCTGAATTTTTGGATCGTCAAATTTTCGACCAATCAATCGTTTTGCGTCAAAAACAGTGTTGGCCGGATTCATTGCCACTTGATTTTTCGCAGCATCGCCAATAAGACGTTCAGTGTCTGTGAATGCAACGTAACTTGGTGTTGTTCTATTGCCCTGATCGTTGGCAATTATTTCCACTTTTCCCTGTTGCCAAACACCAACACAGGAATATGTGGTTCCCAAATCAATTCCAATTGCAGACATTGTATTTGCTTTTGTCACTTTCACGTTTGTTTTAGAAAAATTATTAGTAAACTTTGCGTTACTAGACGATGTGTTATTCGTTTGATTGCTTTTCATGTACTGCCGGCACCATGCGCGTTCACTGCTTATATACATTCACGAGTCGTTTTCTCGAAACTTCTCGAGGCATCTCTCGAAGCCACTCAAAACTTCTGGCACTGTCTCGAGCGTAATATTTATTTTAAGAAATATTTTTTTATTCCGCGCGCTTTCATTTTATTATTCAACTTATTTTTATTAATATTATTATTAAAAATATAAAAATTATTATTTTGTTATTAAATAATAATAATTAAATTAAAAAATTATATTAGAATTTGAGTTTTAATTTTTTCTTATATCTAAAATTAGATCATTTTTGTCAAGAGATAAAAATTTTTGTTTTTCTTCAACTTTTAATTAATTTAAAGGAGAAAAATTATTATTTTTTTAAAAGAATTTAATTTTTGTTTAAAATTAATTTTTTCATATTTGTGCCCGATTATATCAAACAAAAATTTATTTTTGAAACAATTTTGAAATACCACGTAAAAACAATATATTTTTCTTTCATTACTTTCTTTTATTGTACTTTTTGTTTAATGAGAAAATTGCTTTTATCATATTTGAAAATAAGATAATTTATTATTTATTAATAACTAAAGTAATTTGAATAATAATGAAATAATTATAAAAATAATTAAATAATACAAAAAATAATAATAATAATAAAGTAATGAATATATTATTCGTTTTGGTTTCTCGACTTGTCGAGAAGGTTCGACGAAAAAATAAGAGAGATGATTTCTAGAAATCGATTTCCAATGAAGTTTTCGAATTTTTTATTCTTTCATTAATTTTTTTTTATACCTATTTTGAAATCGTTAATTAAAATTTATGAATATAATAAACATTTTTTACAACAACGTTCTTTTGGTGAATTTTTAGACGGTAAATTCTCTCTAGACGCTTCAAGAAGTTTCTAGATTCTAAATGTACATATATTGATCGGTATGATTCGAGCAGCTCCGAGAATCTTGGCTTCTTTGTTATTGTTGATTTTTTTCATTCGTTTTCTCATTATATTTTACGTTTATTCAATCACGAATTTTTTTTTTAGTAATTATAAAAATAATTTAGAAAAAATTAATATATTTTTTTAAAGTGAAAAAAATTCCGTTTTTTTATATGATTCATTGATATTCTCACGATAAAATCTGGTAAAAATGATCAATTTCGAGGTTATTCTAAAAAGTTCTAAAAAATTCCACATCTTTGGTTTTCATTGTTAAAAATAAAAAGTTTTAATTAATCAAATGAATTTTTTTAAAATTTATATTTACAATTAAGAAAAATTTAGTTAATAATATTTTTCATTTTGCTCATAAAAAAAAATATATATATATATATCAGAGATTCTTTTTCAATCGCCCCAGCCCAAAAAGTCAATGTTCTGGGATTGGCTTCATACTTTGGTAAATTTTTGTCCTATATGATAGTAATAAATCCCTAAAATATAAACTCATTAAAAAAATATTTGTAGAAAGTAGAGGGGGTTGAAGTTTTGACGTTAAGGGTAAAATTGTCATTTTCAAATCCGTATAACTATGACAAAAGTTAATGGATTTTAATTTATCTATAATGAATTTTATTGCATTTTTCACGTACTTTTCAAAAATGTATACAAAATTAAAAAAAAAAAATTTTGACCCCTTTTTTTCAAAATCAACCCTTATTTTTCGATTTTCACCCCTTCGGGTATTTTTTTTTTATTTTATTTTCATTGGAAATCTGAGGTTTTTTCCCATGAGCTATGTAAATATGAAAATGGGACAACAATAATTTTGTGAGAAACAGAATATTAATGTAGGCAGTGCCGATAACGGGTATACCTAAAGATCATCTTCGAGGATTTAGGTAGGCACCGCCTGCTTTAATATTCTGTTTCTCACAAAATTATTGTTGTCCCATTTCCATATTTACATAGCTCATGGGAAAAAACCTCAGCTTTCCAATGAAAATAAAAAAAAAGAAAAAAAAATACCCGAAGGGGTGAAAATCGAAAAATAAGGGTTGATTTTGAAAAAAGGGGTCAAAAATTTTTTTTTTTAATTTTGTATACATTTTTGAAAAGTACGTGAAAAATGCATTAAAATTCATTATGGATAAATTAAAATCCATTAACTTTTGTCATAGTTAAACGGATTTGAAAAAGACAATGTTACCCTTAACGTCAAAACTTCAACCCCCTCTACTTTCTACAAATATTTTTTTAATGAGTTTATATTTTAGGGATTTATTACTATCATATAGGACAGCAATTTACCAAAGTATGAAGCCAATCCCAGAATATTGACTTTTTGGGCTGGGGCGATTGAAAAAGAATCTCTGATATAATGATAAAAAAATAAATTTTTTTAAAAAATAGAATGCTTTTATTATGGTGTTCTAAAATTTTATAAATAATACACAAAAATTGTATAACTGTTGATAAGTTTAATAAAAGAAAAAACTGGAAAGAATTTATGTTTGACAAAATAAGTTATATAATTTCAAACATTTTTTAATTCATATCCGCTCCAAAATATCATAACTGTTCTGAGTGTTTTTTGAAATTGATTTTTTTAGGTTCAAGAAAAATTAATTTGTGAAAGCATACAAAATTAAAATTTTACAATGGATGAATTCTTTCAAATTTGAATGTTTTTACAAATTAATTTTTCTTGAACCTTAAAAAGATCAACTTCAAAAAATATTCAGAAAAGTCATGATCTTTTGGATTGGATTTAAATTAAAAAATAAATGAATGATATAACTTATTTTGTCCAACATAAATTCATTCAAGTTTTTTTCTATTATTGCACTTTTGAACAGTTCTACAATTTTTCTCTACTATTTATTACTTTTTAGGACGCCATAATAAAAGCATTCTATTTTTTAAAAAATTTAGTTTTTTACATTATATTTCTCTTTATTTATTATTTTTTAGTTTATAACTTAAAAAGTAGGACTTTAAATAAAAGCGTTCAAAAAACAATTCTAGAAAATTCTATAAATTTCTAGAAAGTTCTATATATTTCAAGAAAATTCTACATATAAATTTCTAGAAAGTTCCATAAATTTCTAGGAAATTCTATAAAATTTCTAGAAAGTGCTATAAAATTTCTAAAAAGTTTTAGAAATTTACAGAAAGTTTTTTTTCTTAAGTTTTGTATAAATTTTCTTGAAAGTTTTATAAAGTTTCTAAAAGTTTTATTGAAGTTACTAAAAAATATATGAAGTTTCTAGAAGTTGTACTAAAGTTTCTAGAATGTTCCATGAGGGTTCAAAAAAAGTTATATGAATATTTTAGAAAATTCTGTGAAAGGTTATGTGAGGATGGTAAAAAAAGGAAACACTAAACCAAATAAGCTGCATTTATAATTTAATATACAGGGTGTTCCAGGAGTATGGAAACTTGCAAATATCTCGAAAAGTACGAATTTTTGTAAAAAATGTTCAAGACAAAAGTTGTTTAAATAAAACCGACTAATTTTCAGTATCCATTTTAGAATCGTTATGAAATTCTGCATTTAAACTTGCAGTACAAAAGCCAAAAAATATTGGGCCCAATGTCTGGGATTGGGCTCAACATTTTTTGACAAATAAAAAAATTTATAAAATCGCATCTTTTGGAGTTTTTGGGGTCACAGGATTAGAAATTCAAAGCTACTTTTCAAATTGGGCTCTATGCCCAATTTGAAAATTAGCTTCCAATTTCTAATCCTGTGATCTCAAAATCACGCTACATTTTACTCTATATAAAAACATTTCAAAACTATTGAAAACAAATATTTTTTTAAATTTCATCATTAGAAAAATTGACATGAACATATCTTATAAGGTTTAATTGTCGTCATTTTTTTTATTGTTTTAAAGAATGGATTCTAGCCAAGAAATATTTAGCTTTAGTTTTTTAAATATAATTATTTTAGCACTACAGAAAAATGGATCACGCAATGAAATTATTGTTTCTAAACATATTTCGAACATTTATATCTATAAATCAAATGGATGCTTGTAAGTTAAGAATTTTCAAATTTATAACGTTAAATCGTCCTGTTCTGGAGATTTGCTCATATTTGAGATTTTCTATACTTTTTATATATTTTCTATGGAATTGATTACACAGGTCTACAAAATAAGACTTTTTTTATATACATATAGGGGAGAGTGACAAACAGTGGGACACTTTTTTTCAAAGACATATTAATATGCCAATTTTATATATTTTTGAACACTTTTTGGTATTACCATAAAGTTTGAACTCTTTTCTACACAATGCACATATTCTATTTAGATTATATTGTGATTAAATAAAAAAATTTGAAATTTTTCAAACTTGATACATTTTTCTTGTTTTGAAGGTTTGTGTTTAACAGTGGGACACCTATTATTCAGAACCGAATAATTATTACAATAATAATATTCTGCTTCATACTTTGTAAATATATATATTTTGCATTAAATAATGTTAACAAATGTTGCAAAACACTCATAATTTAATAATATTTTACATTTTTATAATACGATGTTAAGTTTCATATAAAAAATTGCTATTATTTTTTTTCACGTTTACAGTACTGCTGATCATGAGACATAATTTGGTCATAACCTAAAAACAATTTGGAGCAAAATTTGAATAGTCGTTCTCTTATCAAGTGTTACTTTTTAAATGTTGTTGAACAATTATTGTAATAATTATTAATTATTATAAATTTTGAATTTTTTATTGTTTTTTAGCATAAAAAAATCCCATTTTTAGTCGCTGTGTATGTATAAATGCGCATGCGTGTAGCTGACACAACTTATAATCAGTGTTGCCAAAATCCACGTTTCATAAACTTAAATTTTTGCCTGTCCCAGTGTTGAATGTCCCTCTATTTAAATTAAGCAATCGCAAGAAATTATTTAAATAAAAATTGTTTGTGAAATTTTAAAATATTTTAAACTATTGGATATTATACTTAAAAACATGAGTAAACAAAGTAACATTACACTTTTTTTAAAAAATTGTCCTATCTATATAAAAATCAGCATTGTATTTCAAGAAAAAAT